CCAAAAACAAAAAAATATAATCTTATTTTGTTTATCATCTAAAAATTGTCTGACCATGAAGAATAAAAAAAAACAAAGCCAGACCCTTAAAGCTAAATAGAATAAAACTTTAACATATATTTTAGGTAAATTTCCCCCATCATGACATTAATTCATTTTCCTTGAACTGTGGTTCAATGGTTTAAAAGTTAACATATAAATCAACGATTCGTAAACAAACAGCCCTGGTTTTATGCTCAGAAAACATCCACAAGAAAACTAGACTAATCTGTTACACAGACACTGTAAACATCTTGTGTAATGGATTTTTGCCATTTGGAAGCCTAAATGATATGTTTTGTGTGTCATTCAAATTCTCTCAAGTTTACCAATAAACATAACCATTTCGCAGTTCCTTCATACTTTTACTTTGAAGATTCAAAATGAAACTTTTATGGAATTATTAAAAGTAAAAACCCTTTTTCAAAAACTGGAAATAAATTTAAATATAGTATATACAGCTTTTACAAATGCCAGAATTTCAAGAAAAAAGCTTTTGTTTCAACATTTTGCATGCTTGACACAAAAGAAAGTTCCTTAAACCCATTAAGAAAACTTCTCCTTGAGAGTTATCTCCCTTTAGAAATCAAACGTTAAGACAGTAGTTTGGTTTCTATGAAAGTAAGAAATGAACAAATTACTATTGGTTCCTCTAATTCAAATTGCACAAGTAAACTTGATAAAGTGATGAAGTATATTTGGAGTTAATTTGAGTCAAATCTATAGGTTTAACATGGAAATGACAATTTTGATGGGGAAATTATTATGTCTCAGGATTATGTTTGTTGATCAAAAACTTTTATTGCAAACCCAATGAAAGTTTTCCACAGTGCCATCTCTATCTTGACCAGGTATTTAAACTTTTGCAAGTTCACCTGTCCTATTGAATAAATACAATAGCTATTGTTCTCTGTGTAGTTTATTCTCTGGGACCTTTAAATTTCTTCTAAGAGAAATCTATCATTCATTGATTAAATTACCTGAGTAAAAAAATGATCTTATATGTAGACAAAAATACTTTTTTTATACTCATTAACTGCGTGTGATGATGTAGTTATTCAATATTTATAATATATTTTCATTCAGTTTAATATAAACATTGATTCAATCATAAAAAGTTGATTTCGGACAAAACTTTCAACATCGTTCCTTTTAAAAAAAAGATTGTTTGACATGAATAAGAACTTGAAAATAATGATGTTTCAAATTAAGATCTTCTTAAATGTATTCTATAACTAAAAAAAAAAAAATCAAATTTCAATAGGAACATTGATAAAACTTTTGTTAGAAATTAACTTTTTATGATTGAATCAATGTTTATATTAAACTGAATGAAAATATATTATAAATATTGAATAACTACATCATCACATGCAGTTAATGAGTATAATAAAAGTATTTTTGTCTACATATAAGATCATTTTTTTACTCAGGTAATTTAATCAATGAATGATAGATTTCTCTTAGAAGAAATTTAAAGGTCCCAGAGAATAAACTACACAGAGAACAATAGCTATTGTATTCATTCAATAGGACAGCTGAACTTGCAAAAGTTTAAATACCTGGTCAAGATAGAGATGGCACTGTGGAAAACTTTCATTGGGTTCGCAATAAATCTTTAATTAAAAAAAACATAGGGTTTATTTGAGGGTAGCAAGAAAAAATACCAATGGCAGACCAAACTGAATTGAAAAATCATCTAAAATGTCCTTTCCAGATTAAAATTACATAAAAACCAGTTATTTCATTTACACATATAAAATTATTTTATTTGCAGCTTTATTACAGAAATTAACATTTTTATAATTCATTAATAATAATAATTCATAATTAACAATAATTAAAGTTCATACAAAATAAAATATCCTTCTAAAATTTCTGGTTCCTTAAACATCTTACATTTATAACTAGGAACAAAGCCAAACATTTGTCATTCACACAATAACACTCACCCCTCTAAAACTTTTTCTTAGTCTCCTGAATGTAGATGTAAAGGAATTACTCATTTTAAAGCACAGATTCAAATAAACTCAAATGGTAAAAAATTAAGTTTCCTAAATCCAACATCCATTTCGAATTTCTATGGTTGTTTCAATTGATTGTGACCAACAGATCTAGAAAAGCATGTAAACAAAAATAAAACAAACAGATCTATATCTTGTTTGTAGTTTGAAAAGTCCGCCAGTGAAGATAAGGGGATTTTATTGATCTATCATTAGTTAAGGGTGATCAGGGGCTCCCTTGGGGAATTAGTCACAACCATTAGTCATTTGTGGGAAAATATGATACCAATTCATTATTTATAATAATTGAAATGTAACAGGTAATTCATTAAAGGTAGAAAAGACCAATTCATCATTTTACATTATTATTTATTCAAAATTATTCCCACACAATTTACAATTTGTAGGACTATATGAATCTCATTGGAGAAACTGGTGAATTTCCTTTTATGCTAAAAACATAACCTATTATCTTTTGAGGTTTGAAGTACATCTATTTTAAAGTCTAAGGTATACAAAATAGATGTTTAAACAAATAAAACATTTAATTTAATAGCTTTATATATGTCAGATAAGGAGGCCTCTATCAAGAAATCAAACAAAGTAAAAGCTATGTAACAATAATAAATAGCTCAGTTTGAATTTATTTTCTTATGTAACCAGAACAAACATTACATGAAACCCTGCTGCTCTCCCTTAGTTAAAATTGATTAACGTTACATTGTAAAAGCATTAATTTGTTATATACGTTGGTAATCAAACAGAGAACATTTATTTCTTTACCTTTAAACAAAGTATTATTGACTAAATAAAATAAATATATATAAAAGCTTTCTCTTGAAACAGTATCCAAGATATGAACTAGATAAGAACCAATCTGTATTTTGGTAATTCTACTTCAGGTTGTTATTAGATAATTTTTCTGTTTTTAAAAACTATTTAAATTTCATCGATTTTCTTTTATTTCTATGGGATAAAAACTGTAAAGTAAATGTGTCTCAATCAAAGCCACATGAAAGACAAATAACATCATCAATAAAGTATTCTAAAACATTTTACCCTAAAAACCTCAGTAATTACCAGAAAAACACAAGAAACACAATCTGAACATTAAACTTTCCCTTCTCCATGTTACAATAGCCCTATAGGGATAACAGATATTAATCTAGAACCACATTAATTTTACACTTGGTGAATACCTTGGTCATTAAAATTGTAGCCAGGAGACATATAAAGTCAACATTAATGTTCTGTAATCATCACTTTGATTGATGTGAACCACACAATTTTTTCAATGACCAAATTTTGATTGTTTTTTATTATCATTTTATTTAAGCCATTTTTATCTGATAAATCTTATCAGATAATATATCAATAGTTTTATGGAGTTTAACAAAAGTAAATTTTACAGTTAATTTAATCAAATATGATAGAGCAAAACAAATTGAAATTCAAAGGAAATAAAATGCAAACAGTAAAATTCTTATATATCTGTGAATGATGGTTTAAAAATCTAAACCTGCACTACATTTGTTTAAATAGAAAGCTACTATCAGGATTTTACTAGCTTAAACCACTAACAGGGATCCTAGCCTAGTCTCTGCAATCTGTCTCTTAAGCAGAATAAAATAAAAAGGTCCAAGGCTGTTTAACCGTGAATCGTATCTTAGTCTAAAAATGATGCAAACACAACCCATAAATTGAATTGAGTTAATTGTAAACTAAAATTTTATAACACAAAAGTTGATTTATTTTGAATCATATTATTTCTAATGGAATTTTGCAGTCATTTCATTTAAAATTTTGCCTTTGTCCCAAGTAAATATGTGTATCTGAACTTATTAAACCGAGAAAATATTATTTTCCCAAATTCAACAGGAATAATATGAATTATTTACTGTCTAGTATGAGAAATTTATGCTGTCAATTGTATTTATATCCCAAAAAACCTAAGATTATTTCTGTGACATGCCAGGCTTAACTCCCCAAATCAGTCTAACTGTTCTAAGGGAAATAATTCTAATTATAAGCTATTAAAATAATTTTCCTGACAAAATATACATGGCTTAAAAAATATTTATCGAGTCCAAAGGTAAGTTTCTTTTCTTGCTTTCAATCCATGGTTGAGTGTTTATCAAGTATGTTTTGAATATATTTAATGTTCATGATCTATCAGATTTAAAACAGATTGAGTTAGTAAGGGACCTCTTTGCTACAATCTAATTTATTTAAGATAAAAGCACCATCAAGCACTAATACTATGATATCTCCAAGAATAATTGGTGAAACTTGGTTACATTTAACAACTAATCCAAAATGATTACATTTGCAGCTTTCATACAATTTAAAAAAAAATAAAATCCAGTCAACACTTTGATATTGTGTAAACAAGACCCAAATCTTAATATTAAACTTTTCCTATAAACCTTAAATTTTCTAAAAATACTTGAGGTAATGCTTCCAAATATATAACCATCCAAAATAACCATATTTGAACCGTCATTCAAAAAACATTTCTAATCCTGTCAATTATACTCAAATTTTTATATAACAAGACTCCATTGTCAAATACAACCCATCTTTCAAGAATACAAAACATCAATCTCTTCTATCCAAGATTTTCATTTTTCCTGTGCTCACATACTGCCTCTGTTATTTTGTGAATGCATATTGACATAAAGTACAGACTCTCTGAACCAATGGTTAACAAGCCAGAATCTTATATTCTATTTTTCCACATTTGTATATCGAAACACTGTAGTGCATTGTGTTGACAGATTTTTTCAATGATGGTTGATTGTTAGTGTTTAAAGCCTGTTTTTACACTTTTGAGTATATAAGGGCGGCCAGTTTTTATTGGTAGAGGAAGCTGAACCACTGACATTTCACCAGGAAATCTGATGAATGATGAAGTAATTGTATTTGAATAAACAATGACATGCATGCTTAATTACTTACACCTCTTTTATGCTGTCTCTTAATCATGCCCATGGCTGCTGCTTTGTATTCTTGCTCAAGTCTATTGTAGTTTAACTGGAAACGACTGCAAAACATAAAAACTATGTCAAAATTGTGATTATAAAAACATAGATAGGCAACTTTTGACAAAAAAATGTATTTATTTTGGATGAGAGCAACCATATACAGGCCAAACCTACAGATGGATTATGGCTAGCATACTGTCAGTTTATACAGAATAGTCCATGATAAGTGGTAATAACAAGTGAAACTGCAAGCTACTGCTCACTGATGATACCCCCAGCCCAAATACTTGATGGTACACAGGAAGTTGTTGAGTGATGAATCTGAAAATGCATCACATGGTACAGCTGACTCATATAACCCCTGAAACCAAATTTCAGAAATCCTTGTAATGTAGTTCCTGAGAAAGATGCGACGAAAAATATTCATGGGACAGACGGACAGACGGACAGCGGGGGTATAAAAAATGACAATATCATGTATGCCAATAAATGATTTTGGAAATACAATTAAAAAAGGATCTAACTGCTAATAACATACTGCGATTCCATGAATACTTAATCTACAAAATAATTGCAATAGTTTTTGCCTCCCTTACTCTTCTATCATTTACCATTACATTTTAAGAATGTTGTAAATTTTTCCATTAGATTTAATGCTGTTTTTATTTTTAATCCAATTACATGCAGTCTACAATGTGCAATTATACTGCAATCTATCGTAAATACTTATATTTATGAATTTCTGATTCAGTTAAAGTCTGGTATAGCATAGATGTATAAACCCATTACGTCTATGGGTATAGTATGTTAAGTATTTAATGCTTTGAATATGATGAATATACAGTATCATATTCTGTTTTAAATATGACTAATTCACAATTCTATCCTCTTTTCAAAATTTTAGCTCAAATGTACCAATTTCCAAAATATGCAGTAATATAATAGTTTCTATAATGTAAGATGCACACTTTCAATAGATATAGATGCAAACATTCTATAAAACTCCAAAGATCTAATTGTTTGACCACTAAACATAAAACAAGATGTTATTATAAAGTGAATAAATTCCCATCTCCATAAAAAAGGTAACAATTAATAATTCAGTCATAGTACTATAAATCTGAAATACAATTTCCCAAACAGAAAGTATACTTGATTATCAGGGAATGCTTATTTGTACTTAAAAGGTATGCCTACTAAAACAAAGTTGTATTTCATGAAATTGATTTAACCAGTACAAATTCCTTATTTAGATGATTAATATAAGGCCAAAGAAACAAAACATTGTTGATAAATAAAGGTAAGAAAACATTTATCAAGCATATGCATTTTTCCATTTCTAAATATTTTCAAACAAATTTCTTCATAAAAACAAATTTGAATAGTTCATTCAAAATATATGGTCGACATCAACAAAAAATTAAAAGCGCAACATGTGTTTTTGTAAGACCTTAACAAAAACATATGTTTCCAGACCTTGCTTTGACCTTAGTGTGACCATCATATTTATATTAAAATCAGACAATAAATCTATGCAATGACAAATATATATGTAGTCTTTTGTCCTTCTTTACATAAACATATGAACATCTTGTTAGATACCTTCAGACTGACAATGAATCAGTCTAGCAATATATATATTTATCTATGAAGGTTCAGCATTTATCATCTTGTTATAGTGGAAAGAAATTTCATCTTGTTATAAACAAAAGAAGTACAATTCTAAAACCCTAAAATCACCACAATAAATATCTTACGTTACACTCGACTGGATTTGTCCAATAGCAGATCTTTTCTACAATAAAAGAAAGATAACTCTAGCATTAAAAGCCATACAAATTTGTTTTCTGTACACTAATTTATAAGTAGAGAGACATTAGTCTATGTTTTAAAATTCAATTGGTTCTTCTATGAATATGAGAGTATATATCTCACCGTCATACTAAATCATACAACACTCAGAGATTGGCTAATTCTAATAGAATAGAAAATTTTATTTTAAGTCGGGTTTACATGAACATTACGAGCATAAGATCTGTAGAGCTTTTTGCCAACAGTCTGTATTTGTAACTGCAAGCATTCTTTCATGTTATCTTGCTTGTATTTTTGGGTTCAAGATACTAGTTATTAATGCAATATCTAAGATGTATGGAGGCTAAAACAAAATCATTTCATATATCACAGATTTTTCTTTCATAAATTCATTTACTCAAGCCTTCATTTTTCGTGATCTTGAAAATAAAGAGTTCTGAACAACAGGGGACAGAAATACCAATATTTGATTAGATAAATGTCTAGCAGCAAGACCATCTTTTCCAGTACATTTGTATTTCTATCTTAAGGAGGAACAGAGCTACTACTGCTATTGTACACCAAGAAGTCAGAACATAGTCCAAACCTGTAAAGGTTTCAAGATAAACCTCAGTGTATACAAACATCAACTACTACTAACCTGAGCTACATCATGTCCATAATCATTATTATTTAACTGTCCAAGTTCTGATTGTAGTACCGATAATTTTCTCTTTTCAGCTTCAAGTAATCTAAAGGTAACCTGGAAAACAAATGGTATCAAATACAAGGTGGTACATAACACTACAGGGAGATAACTCTGTAAAAATCAGCTGAACATTTTAATCATGTTCTATTTTTAATATTAAGCTTCTCAATGATCAAAATTAGTGTTTGTCAAACTGCTATATATCCCATGAAATTTTTCCGATAAAGTGTGTGGTTCAAGTTTTTAGAAATTTTTATCTTTTTGTCAAAGGGTCAAAGTAACTATTTTGTCAAAATTTTAAGAAAATTAAACGAGCCAAATTAATTTTAGTCAAGGTGTTTGGTACCACCTAAACTCAATTTATCACATTCTATTTACCATGGGGATTGTTTCTTTGATTACCTTAGAACACAGTCAGTGTTGAGACCATATAGTTACACATTGATGTAAATATTACTCTGAAACTTTTTCAACTAGCATCTTGCTTCTCTTTAAGTCATTAACAGAATTTGAAAAATTGCTGAAACTATTTCAGCAGAGTTTTCCATGCTCATTTGTTAGATATTCACATCTTACATATGTCTTAAAGCAAAGAATATATAATTGGGAAATATTTTGTATTTTTATGAAATTTTATATGCATTTTAAAGAACTTGTTGAACTACAAATTACATATGTAGTATTGACACTTCTAGAAGAGACCAATAATTGTAAAGAATGTGCATAAAAAGGGACTAAAAAAATACATCAAGTTTTGCTTAAAGGATTCAGTTATTCAACAAAATATTTACATAAATTGAGTATCAAAATATTTATCGAACCACTACAATGATTATCAAATGTTTACAAATCGTTCAGATTTAAAAATTCGTAAGGGTTCCGCGGAACCCAGTGTCTCGCCTACTTTTTCTGTTAATCGCAGGCTCAACAAAAATGAGGAAGTAAATCAATAAAAATATTCCTCTTGATACTGTCTTTTGATTGTAAGAAGCTTCTGTCCAAGTTTGGTAAAAATCCAGGATAGTTTATGAATCTAATAAATGTTCAAAAACTTTAACTGCAGACTGAATGTAATGTTAACTGGAAGAAAACAAAATTTCCTTCTGGATACTACCATTTGATCATAAACAAGCTTCTGTCCAAGTTTGGTACAAATCAAAAATAGTATAAGAAAGTTATTAAAATTTTAAAAACTTTAACCACAGAGTGAATGTGTTGTTTCCTGGCAGAAAATCTAAGTCCATTTAAAAGTAATATACGGAAAAAATGGATTAATTTTTTACAAAATGTCCTTCTAGATACTAGCTTTTGATCATAAACAAGCTTCTGTCCAAGTTTGGTACAAATCCAGGATAGTTTAAGAAAGTTATTAAAATTTTAAAAACTTTAACCACAGAGTGAATGTGTTGTTTCCTGACAGAAAATCTAAGTCCATTTAAAAGTAAAATAAGGAAAAAATGGATTTATTTTTTTACAAAATTTACTTCTGGATACTATCTTATGATCATAAACAAGCTTCTGTCCAAGTTTGGTACAAACCCAGGATAGTTTAAGAAAGTTATCAAAATTTTAAAAACTTTAACCACAGAGTGAATGTAATATTTCCCGACAGAAAAACTAAGTCCATTTATAAGTAAAATACGGAAAAAATGGAATTTTATTTTTACAAAATTTACTTCTGGATACTATCTTATGATCATAAACAAGCTTCTATCCAAGTTTGGTAGAAATCCAGGATAGTTTAAGAAAGTTATTAAAATTTCAAAAACTTTAACCACAGAGTGAATATTTGTGGACGCCGCCGACGACAACGACAACGACGCCGACGGAATGTAGGATCGCTATGTCTCGCTTTTTCGACTAAAGTCGAAGGCTCGACAAAAATCACAGCAGAAGTCATCCTATAGTATTTTAATGGTTCTTTATGACTAAAAATTGCAAATGCTATTCAATTTAATTTTGGAATTATTGGGATAATATCTTTAAAATTTATATCGATGAAAATTAATGCTAATAACATTCCTATTCATTTCGGTGACAAAGTACATCAACCAGCTAAAGGTATTCCAATGTGGACAACATATCCTGCACAGGCACATACCCTGTTATTCATATTTTGTGATATTGCATATATCCATTTTTTCATACTTAAAATATGTTGGCTTTTTTTAATATATCTTTATCCTTGTTCCAACATTTATATACATCTTCAGCTTTCCACATTTCCAAGTTATTCCAGACACATTGGAGTTGGAAAAATATTATATATCTCTAAGTAGTACCAGGGAAACAGGAAGTAAGGGGACAACCATTTGATTTTTTGGGGGTGGGGCAAGAGGAAATAAATGGGAAATGTGTCCATGGGACAAAGAAGATGCCCCCCCCCCCTTTTTGCATATAATGCTATAAAGGGACATAACTCTAGAACTGTAAAAGTGACGCTTCCCAAATTTGTACTTGATCTGAGTTTTGTTGTAATAAGCATTGTTTATAAGTTTCATAACATTTAGTTTAGGCAAACTAAGTTAGAGAAAGGAAACGAAAAATTCAGCAATTTTTTCCATTTGTAATGGGCATAACTCTAGAATGGTAAAAGTGACTCCACCAAAATTCAAACTTGATCTGTGTTTTGTGGTAATAAGCATTGAGTAAAAGTTTCATAACATTTGGTTGAGGCAAACTAAAGTTAGAGAACTGAAAGGAAAAATTCAGCAATTTTTCCATTTGTAAAGGGGCATAACTCTAGAACGGTAAAAGTGACCCCACCAAAATTCAAACTTGATCTGTGTATTGTGGTAATAAGCATAGTGTATAAGTTTCATAACATTTGGTTGAGGCAAACTAAAGTTAGAGAACAGAAATGAAAAATTCAGCAATTTTCCCATTCATAAAGGGGCATAACTCCAGAATGGTAAAAGTGATGCCACCAAAATTCAAACGTGATCTAGGTTTTGTGGTAATAAGCATTGTGTATAAGTTTCATAACATTTGGTGGAGGCAAACTAAAGTTAGAGAACGGAAACCAATATTGGGACGTACAGACGGACAAGGGTAATTACTAAAACTTAATGCCCCCTCCGCTATGGCTGAGGCATAAAAAAAAGCAGGTGTTGATGAAAATAAATGATCAATCTTATAAGAATAATTCAGTTCCTCCCACTAATCAATCTCTCCTACTTGCCAGGACCTGAAGTCATAACACACTTTAAACTCTTGATGAATCCTGGATTTTAATTGGTGCCCTGTGAAAGAGGTGACCAATCAGCAATCAGCTCTATTTAATCCAGACAGAAAGTCCCTAGCTAATTTTGAATGATTGATTGACATTTTTTAATGTCAATGCATTCAGGCGTTAATATAGCAGCGAAATATAACCGCTGAATAATTCAGGTTATAATCAATCTGGAAATAATCCTCCTGCCCCTCCCCAGAATATTAAATAGTCGTCCTCCAACACCCCTATCAAAAGGACTACATATTGTAATACTCGCTAATCACCTGTTACCAATTTATTTCATATTGAAGAGAATTTATGATAAAATATGTAATTTGTTCTTATGTTGTGCTGTTACACCACAGTCCCAGGTTAGAGGTTGGGTTGAGCACTCACAAACATGTTTAACCCCGCCACATTCTTTATGTGCCTGTCCCAAGTCAGGAGCCTGTAGTTCAGTGGTTGTCTTTGGTTCATGTCTGTCATATTTGTTTTTCGTAAATTGTGTATATATGTTTCTGATATTAGACAGTGCTTTACAATTTTCTGTCAACGAAATAATAATCATCCTGTGTGAATCAGGAATGTTAACAAGTATGGCAGTACAGATATTCTCACTTCAAATCAAATGAACAATTTATCAACTGAGAGAATTGCCGGAAAGTAAACATGAGTATGTTGATGGTTTTCTGTATCTGGAAGAGGAAGAAAATGCACGACAGGAAGTCTTTAAATTAAAATTCGGACAAAGTTGGAATGCGCTAATGTTTCCGGAAAACTTGTTATCTGAGCTTTTCATTCTTTATTTTTATCAAGGACGTATGTTATACGTCCTTGTTTTTATCAAATGCATAACATTGTGTAATTTCATTTGTTCATAATCTAAAGAGTTTACTAGGGTACACCAGAATGGTCACAAACATTGTGTAATTGCATTCGTCTCTATTGTTAGACACCATGCTAGATTTTGCACAGGCATAATTTAAATTAGACATTCTGACGGAAAATTGCCAGTTAATTGGTCGTGTAATTCTATAACAATTGGGCTATAGCTTCCTCGTGTAGCAATTGCCTTAGGTGGTTCTTGGCTGTAATGTTTCGCTTTTCATCTTTTTTCTCTCTAACGTTTTATATATTTTTTGGGCTCTATTTAATTAGTAAACTTTTGGTTTTCAGAGGATCTGATGAGTATTAAGTAACTTCCGAGGCAAGATCGTCGGATAACTGAACTTTCTCCAAGTCCTGAGTTTCAGTCGAATGTTTGCTGAGTTTGGATGTTGGGATATTATTCGAGGATCAATTGTCGTGTGCAAGGTAGTCGACATCAAACATTTTTTACCGCCGTTTGGCAGGCGGTATCATTGCTGGCGGAAGATTATTCCCCGTACATGCGCTGTTGCTTCGGTATACTGGCATGATTATATGATGATACAGTTTGTCTTTGAGTTTCCATGTAACGTGGACCTAAAAACTATATAGTTTGGCAAAATAATCAAGACAACCACACATTAATAACAAAGGATGTAGGAACAAAAAGACCTACAAGACAAACCAGTAAAGCCAGACAAAAAAAAACCAACATCCAATACACACATTATAAAAACCCTTAAAACCAAACAAACTAGAAGACAATACTAGTAATCAGCAACAAACTAAACTGTAGCTTGGGATCCCGCTCGCTTGCCGACTCTGAGAGGAGGTTGGGCCAGGATGCCAGGCTAGTAAAACTGGAACTAGCTATATACATGTATCATGTAGATAGAACATCCGGTCGTCTATAGGTATGTAGTCTTATTTAAAATATATTAAATATTTGCTATGGTATTTCAAGTCAGTTCTTATACATACACACTTTTTTTTTAAACATGACACTGACGTTATGGTAAAAGTGCATAAAAGAACTAAATATATGAACATTGTTTTCATCCCAGTATATCCGTGATGAATAAATAGAAATCCATAAACGAACAGAACTGGACAGATAACATTATTTATCTGAATACAGATTTGACAGGTAAATTACTTTTTCTTGTTGCTGTTGTGTATCTACATGGTTGGTCAAGGAATGTTAATAATTAGTTAATACACATTTGACGCAGTTCAGTATCGTATGCAATTTCCCCTCTTGCAGTTAAAAAAACAAAAGTGTTTATCAACGTATTTTTTGAAAGCCAAAATGAAATGTTTGAAAAATCATTTGACATTCGATTTACAGCCATCAGAGGTAGCTTAGAGGGTCATGCTAACGTACCCTGAAAATTAACAATAAATAAATGAATAATTAAAAATTCAAGATGATTTTCGTCAAATGAATATAGATGAAGACTAAAGCTGTATACCCACGCTGTTTTATCCGCAGAATCATTTCATACTTACTCTAGTTTCTCTGTATACTATGGGACTAATATTCAAAGGGACTTTAACTTCTAGAAGTATTCAATAATAACCTGTTTAGAGTCCTGGAACTAACGACAACCACTGAATTGTAGTCCCCTGACTTAGGACAAACACATACAGCATGTTGCAAGTCTAAACATGTTTGCAAGTGCTCAATCCTCCCATAACATGAGACAGTGATGTAACAGTACAACATAAAAAAAACTTGATTATCACGGTAGAAGTAATACTATAAGCTATGAACTCTAAAAAAATGTGACGACAGAACTTGGTTTTTGTTGGTCTGACGACCAAACATAAACTCGACTGAAAATCTAATGCAACCCAAACCATATCGTTCAGCATATATGGAACAGAGAAAGATAGGTTACTTGTCTTACTAGTATATATTGGTATTTAAATGAGATGACATTATATATCCTAAATACAACATTTACACCATAGCAAAAGGTCAATAATTCTATTAACTGCAGTTCCATTCTTTAATAAGCAATAATTCAGTGGAAGTCAAAATATAGTTTCAGGTGTACTTAATTAGCAGATATCAACAATCAGTACTGTAATATACACAGAGCTCGGTATAAACCTGCTACTAGATAGTACTTTGGTGCATAATAAATGGTTAATTACTGCTACAGACCGCCGGTGGTTATGTGGTAGCGTGTTTGCCCCTCATGTTTGCCTTGAACGTAGGTTGGCATAAGTTCAATCCCGACTAACAGGAATATATCTAAATTGGTATTTGCTGCTTCTTGTTGTATGCATCATTCAAGAGTAAGAGCAAATAGATATAAGAAGATGTGGTATGAGTGCCAATGAGACAACTCTCCATCCAAGTTATAATTTATAAAAGTAAACCATTATAGGTCAAAGTACGGTCTTCAACACGGAGCATTGGCTCACACCGAACAGCAAGCTATAAAGGGCCCCAAAAATTACTAGTGTAAAACCTTTCAAACGGGAAAACCAACGGTCTAATCTATATAAAAAACGAGAAACGAGAAACACTTATGAACCACATCAACAAACGACAACTACTGAACATCAGATTCCTGACTTAGGACAGGTGCAAACAATTGCAGCGGGTTTAAATGTTTTAATGGTACCAAACCTTCACCCTTATCTTAAACAATAGTGTTACATCACAACATAGAAAGACACACTATAAGATATCAATTGAAATGGCTTAACTCAATCAAAAGACATATTAACACCAGTGAACATACACTGAACAAATAAATTTGATCTATGATACAATGTAAATACAAAATAAATAAACTAAGGGAAGAATAATTAAAGTAACATGTTATACCGCTGTGAAATGTTAAACAATTTAAGAAAAACAATATGCTTGAACAAAAATATCAGCCATTTGCAATTACTTTGAATATAAAAAAAAATGTGGTATGATTGCCAATGAGACAACTCCCCACAAGAGACCAAATGACACAGAAATTAACAACTATAGGTCACCGTACGGCCTTCAACAATGAGCAAAGCCCATACCGCACAGTCAGCTATAAAAGGCCTAATTTATGTACAAAAAATGAACGAAAAACAAATATGTAACACATAAGCAAACGACAACCACTGAATTACAGGCTCCTGACTTGGGACAGGCACATACATACAGAATGTGGCGGGGTTAAACATGTTAGCGGGATCCCAACCCTCCCAATAACCTGGGACAGTGGTGTAACAGTACAACATAAGAACAAACTATAAAAATCAGTTGAAAGAGGCTTAACTCATCAGATGAATAAAATACAAATACTACAAATACAAGTGGACGTGGCCGGGTACTTGTACATCCAAACAACAAAAAGACACTTTAAACACAGGTAAATGAAAATAATTTTGTTGTTATGTATACGTGTACATCTCAAAAGGAGAAAGGAAATATTTTTACAAAATAAAGATTTTTGATGTTCATAGTACGAAGAAGTGAAAATTTATAGTAATACCAAACACTTATCAAAGCTGGTACATAGGCCAGATATAACCCTGAATAAAATTTAATAAAAAAGCATTACAATTAGTATCAACAGGTCAAATAAACAAGAAAGTACGATTTGAGAGTACTCGCAGTTACTGACAGCTAGTTAAAAGCCAAAAACAATTAATAATAAAAAATCATGCATCAGAGACTAAAATCAACTAAAACACATTCCAGGGATTTATTTTTTTAACCTCATGGACAGTCAAAGAAGACATGACTTGTGCAATGCCAAAAATAAATGTATCGACAGGCAGTAGGATAGTTAGGAGTTAACCTCTTTATAGATCAAAATGAACGTGGGTGTGTCTTTATACATCCCGTTTGAAAAGAATACAAATTTAGTTATGTTTTAATTTGCTGATGACAAAATCGATATTAGTGCCAATGTAAACTATATTCAAAGATCTAATTACAACATTGGTAAGATAACCTTTACTAATAAGTTTGTTTAAAGGTTCGATGAGTTTACACGGATCATATAGTGATTTCCGCGCTTTAAGTACAATATTACCGTAAAATTTAGGATGTGAAATACCATTTTTAATCAGTTTTCTTCAGGTACAGCCAAATTTACTAATCAAATCTTTGTATCTATGAAAGAATTTAGTAAAAGTTTTACGTAATTTATAGTAACGAAATCCCTGACTTAATAATTTACCAGTGATGCATTGATTACGTTCGTTAAAATCTATGACATCACTACACACACGGGCATAACGAACGAGTTGGGATATATAAACACCGTATGATGGAGCCAAAGGAACATCGCTGTCTAAAAAAGGAAAATTAACAATAGGGAATGAAAAGTCGTCTCTTTTGTCGTAAATTTTAGTATGGAGTTTTCCTTTAGAGATTGAAATGTCCAAATCTAGAAAAGGACAACTACTGCTGTTTATGTTAGATTTAGTTAAAGTAAGTTCTTTTGGGTAAATTTCGGTAGTATATTAAGAGAACTCTGGATTATTTAACGAAAAAATATCATCTAGATAACGGAAGGTATTGTTGAATGTATCAACCAAAGACTGTTGAGGTCAGAAAAAATTGAAGGATGACATCTATTTTCCGAAATGTTAGCTCGTGTCGGTCCAGTACAAAGCAAGGTGGTATATTTATGACCATCACTGATGAGCGAGCACCCGTCAATAGTCATCATAATCCGTGGTTTATCCCTGACCAATATACACAACCAAAACAATACAAACAAACCAATGAGTACAAAATTGAAATGAAAATACAATCGAAACATAAAACCACGAAAATGACAAAAAGGTACAAATAACAAATTTGAAATTATAATTCATTTTCAGGCAGTAGATAAAATATCAACGAAAAAACAAAAATACAAGATATAAGCGAAAAATCCACAGTAATGTCATAAAAAGTTTTTCTGACCACAATATATTAACTATTTGTCCGAAAACGGACAGCCAGAACAATATATTAACTATGTGTTTGAAAACCGACAGACAGATCATCAAATTGATGATCTCATATAATAAGACTGTCAATAAAAGGACTGACTCAAGGACTGATGTTTATATTGACACTTATAGACGAATTTTTCGGATCAAAATAAAACAATCATCACTGTCTCCGAACGTGTATTTCTACGATGTCATACCATAACCAAAGTACATATATAGTGAGAGGCTGTCCAGCGTCGAGTGACTTTGTTAGTATTTATATATGCTATATAATCAAGGTTTCAACAACGACTGAATTACATGAAGGTTGTTACTGGACATAAAATAGTCCCTACTTTGTATTGTCTTCATTATTTACACAACAAACCTTACCTCCGTTTTATATCTGCATTCAAGAAATGTACAAACATTCTTGATTTTCTTTCTGTCTAGTGTTCTCACAACAGATAATAAGCTGGTTATCAGATATTGGGACAAAGCTTATAGTAATAGTGGTATAAATTATTTCTGAGTGGAAGTATATTCGATACATAACTTTCCTTTGAGGGTCGTTTTGTGTCCATTAACAGTTATGATTTATCAACGCTACTACATAATTTTATCGAAAAAAAAATCGAATTCAATAAATTGGTCTTTCGATTAAAATGGGTAACACCATGATTCACTATGTGTATTGTTGTAGTTATAAATCTTTTTATAGGAATAAATCATACAAAAACACACTAATTAAAAATGACAAAAAATGATCAAAGCCATTATTGTTTTGTTTGATAATATTGATAATATTTATGTCGTTTTGGAGATATACTGTCAAATAATTGGCATGAGTCAAATGATTGAGAACCACTTTTTGATATTAATTGAAATTTTAATGGAATGTTTTGGGCCACTAATCGGTGAACTTAATGTGCTGATTTTTTTCTCTACGGTTATGAGACAATCGCTATGTATGTATGATAAAACTTCACAAAGACCCAACGAATCAAACGTTAATGATAAATATTTAGTAACCGTGGTCCTTTTTTTTTTTAAATAACTCGATATACAATTAATCATGGCAATATATGACAAACGTGGCGTATTTTTTTTCTTCCTATTGTTAATTTTTCAATCCTTAATGGTTGAGGTTTGTTTGCTTGCTCTTATTGAGGGTCCATTTCACAATGGATGTGATATTTCATTACTGAAAAATTAAAATAGTGATACAGATGTAAACTGTTCAAAAGTTTACTAAATTTTATCCCAAATTGTGTCATATCAAAGAATACTCGCAGATACTGAAAACAAGCTTAATACTTTTACCTGCTAATATTGAAATCATCAACGGTTCCATGGGCATAACACGGTGTGCCACTTATGGCCGAAAGTGTGTTTTAGTTTCAATTTTCTCTTTCTTCATTTGCAAAACATTTGGTGGGCCCTCTCGTCCCCTTTTAACATTTTGGATCCGTCACTGATCATGCCATCTAATATTTCACTCCTATCGACAGATATTGATAAGGAGAAGTTTTCATAAAGCAAAGACACGAAAAATAAAGGGAGACACTATGTTGTGCAAGTTCAAATTAAAGAGTAAGGTCAATTTCCTTTTTATTTTCACTTTCTGGGTCAAAGTAAGAAAGTTGCTGGAATTCGAATATTACAGAGTTTATATAATATGCTTAAAGAATTATGAGCAATTTAGGATACCCCCGGTATATCTTAGGATCATATCCCAAAATATATAACAGACAGTATAAAGAAATACTTCCAATAGAATTTTAGTTTTTGGTTAAAATGTCCTTATATATTCATTTTAGTAAATACTCAAAAGTTTGAAAAACGTTTGTCAAAATTGCAGTTTTGAACCTTGTTAATGCATACAGTTCGCCAAAATGGTGTTAAATTACCAATATGAATCTGTGATGCTGTGAATTCGAATAAATTTTGAAGAACTTTGAAAAAATTAAAATAAATTCAGTGGAAATTGGCACTATCTTTTTGCGCAGAAATACAATACAGATAAAAATAAAAGAAACATTCTATACTGATTTTAAAGGACAAATAAGCAAATCGATAACACAGTTTTATAACAACAAAACTAAAAATAGATCCCTGACCAACAAGTCTATCAATTTAAAAAAAGGAAAAGATAATTGCCAAATTTGCTACTTTAAAAATGATATTACCACATAGAAATAGGATGAAATACCACTTATTGTTAAAATGAAATTGCAAGTTAAGTCATGCTTCCAAAATAAATCCCTATATTTGCAATACACAATATAAGTGTTGCCCAGTTTAAGATATATGTAGCTTTGATATACAATAAAAAGTGAGGAAAATATCTTTCGTCCAAATCCGAGACAATATTGCAAACACACGAGCATCAAACCAACTGAGAAATGAATCATACACAGGCGACAGAAATAGCATCCAAAGGAAAGGAAATTAACAGGTGGAAAGGAAATTCGTTCAATTAGTAACAAGTTAGATTTGAAAATTTCCGAGAGAAAAATAGAAATTAAATGTCTAAAAAGGTCAACGACAGTTCTAAACTTTGTGTACTGGTATTTGGAAAAAATCTGGATAATTTAGAGATATGTCGTCTAACTATACATGTATTGTCGAAGTGGTGTTTTTTCATTGGCTCTTTGCGATTGATTGATTGTTGCTTGCTTAACGTCCAGAAGAATAAAATAGATGCAGCAAAAACTATTTTACATTATATTTCAAATGCAATTTCGTCTTTCCATTTAGCAGAGTCGTCAGATTCTTTCAGAAATCAGTAATGAACCATAGGTAACCGAGAATTAGCCCAAGGTTTTTTCATTTTCATTACCAGTTTCTTTCAATTTTCATTTACCACAGTCACTGCAAGTTAAAATTAGATGTTATTAAGGTTCATGTGGACCCTTCGTCTAAAATGGCTGCATGTTCACCTCAAAATTTACTCTGAGTACAGACAAACCTGTGCATCTGGAAAAGTTTTAAGGCATAGCATGCCCTAGATAAATAAAATTCAAATATATTTTATGTTTTAGAAAATTAAAAACTTAACCGGATTTTGCAGTGCACTTTTTTTCATTCCACCAGAAGGTGACAAAATAAACAAAGTTGGGAAAGAGGTTTGAGAACTTCCCCACAGGTAATAATTGAAGTGAACTGTTTTGATTGACATGGACAATAGATACCTGACAATAATTGGTGATTTAAACTGTGTACCTGAGTGGACCATATCAAGTGAAACTCAACTGTTTGTTAATTTTATCATCTTCTGCAGGGACGAAAAAAAGTGCACTGCTAAATCCAGTTAAGTTTTGAATTTTCTAAAACATACAATGCATTAGAAGTTTATTTATCTAGGGCATGCTATGCCTTAAAACTTTTCCAGATGCGCAGGTTTGTCTGTCCTCAGAGTAAATTTTGAGATGAAAATGCAGCCATTTTAGCCAAAGGGTCCACATGAACCTTAAACTGATAACAGGAAATCTTTGAAAGAACTCACAGAACAAATAGAACATGAAGAAAGAGGGAGTTTGGTCCGAAACTTATTGATTATTATGTATAAAGCAAATACGACTACCTATACATATCTAATATTCTCATATCATGTATAATTGTGTGTCAATATATACATCATGCTAATCAGTGATCACTTTACCTGGCTAATAATTACAGGTGTAATGAATCACACTTATATGCATTCCTGTTACGTAATAAACTTTTGTAAACTTTTATATTGAAATGATTTTGTCCAAAGAAATAACTTACTTCTAATTGAATTCCAAACAAATCAGCAGAGGGCTCCCGAATTTTGCTCAATTCATTTTCTAATTGTTGACGTCCCAGGGATCTAAATCCTGGATCCTCCATCAGTACCAGTCTCCAAACAGAATTTTTACTTTTAATTTAAGATCCATAACTTAATTCATAACTATATTCTTCTAATCCAAAGAAATCAAGTAACTCATGGCGTGAACTGTCAATATTTCTCAATACATGGACAGGTAAAACTAATTATCATCATAACCTTTGACCCTGTCCCCACTATTTACACTGGTTTTATCATCAATAAATATACCTATATTCTTTACTTATTGTGTAAAAATAATGACAGTGACAAGAATATTGTAATAAAACAATAATAACTATGGTCCTTGACTCCGCCCCATTCTTGTAGTACATAATATATTCATTGTAATGTTTACTAAACTATATAAAGCTAATAATCAAACCAAAAATCTTTTATTTCAACAATTCTTGACACGCAATATGATATAGTATGTCAAATATGCAATATCGAAGCACTTATAATGGACGCATGAGTAACTTTAAAAAAAATCAAATTGCACATTGTTTGAATAGTTCGACATCAAAGTCACAAAGAACTTTAATTGTCCTTCGACACCGGATAATGTGTCCCTATCCGAGCAACAATAGTTGCAAAAGCTCATTTGTTTTATTAAAATGGTTGTTATAGTAAACATTTGAACTTGCTATACAATTCCTTGTTATAGTTAAAACCCTACTATAAAAATCTTTGGCCAATGTCTATGAATGGTCGCAGTGCATTGCGCCGGTTAAAAAAAATCCCGTATTGCATTTGCGCCACAGGTTATATTTCATTTGCGCCATATAATAGATATAAATATTTTGTGCCAATTTTTTCAGGTAAAATGAATGACGATTAAAGTTAAATGTAAATTTTGTCCTATATACGATGGTCGTCCAAAAAGATTTTGTAGAATACCTCATGAGCATTTAAGTGAGTTCATACTCATTTCTTATCCAGCATTGACAGTCACTTACTGATAGTGATACTGTTTCCGAATTGGTCAATGCAGTGAGGTCGTTGATACAATTAGAATTTTTTTTAAAAAGCGAATAGGTCTATGAATGCACATGCTACATCTATCGTTAAAGACCCAAATGTTGTTTATCACCTGTTCTACCTCAATGACAAATATGTTGTTGTCCCCGCAGATAAAGCTAAAATCAATATTGTTTTTGTGTGTAAATCACAGTGCATCAACTGCTTGTTAAAGGAATTAAGTATTCACTTGGAAAAAGACTCAACATATATCCCCACGACACTTACCAAAGAGAAAATCCTGAATAATCATAGGTTGGTTCTATGTTCTTTTGGAATTTTAACCAAAGATGCACGAAGCATTGGATCTTCCTTCACTTTATTGGATACATCAATTACATAATGAAGGTAAATCTGGAAAAGCGCTTCGGAAGCATGAAATTTATAAAGTGTTGTTTTCATTATTTAAAAGCATTTGCTCGACACCACTGCTGGTGGACTATCAGTCACCGAGGGTGTCATCAGCTTAGTCGCCAGTACTTCGGTACTGACTAGATTGATTACAAACCTTTCTTCAATTTTCTGATTAAAAATTTTGAACGCATCTATCCCAACGAACTTCAAATAAAAGATACAGCAGGCACCGGTTAAGTCTGCCTCATATTGTGACTTAAATCTAGAAATTAACATTGAGAATCGTTGGAGAACAAAACTTTACGACAAAAAAGATTATTTCAGCTTCCCAGATGCGAACTTTTCATTCCTATGCAGCATCCTTCCAGCAGCGCTTGCATATGGAGTATATAACTTTCAGTTGATAAGATATTCAATAGCTTGCATTTCCTACCATGATTTCTTTTATAGAGGGTTGCTGCTTACAAGGAAGCTATTAAAACAAGGGTTCCAAGTGATGAATTTGAAGTCATCCCTTCGAAAAATTTACGGACGTCATCACGAGGTTGGTTGACCATAATGGAATATCTGTTTCACAGATGACGGCGGATGTTCCTATTGTCGTTACCACAATCCAGTCCTCTTTTCCTCGAATGCGACATCACCTATTTAGAATGTACTAACATGAGCAACACGATGGGTGCCACATGTGGAGCAATATCTGCTTAGCCTAGTGGATCACCTGAGATCACCCCTAGTTTTGTTTAAAGGGGTTCGTGTTGTTCTTGCTTTAGCTTTAAATTTTGTTCTTTGTGATGTTTAATTTTTCAATGTCTGTGTTGTTAACACCGGTAACCTTCTTGTCTAAAATTTGTCACGAAAAACGTGTTTCAATTGCATACTCGGTCAAGTTTTAAGGGTTAGAAAATTTATATGACCGACGGTTTACGAATTTGGTGATGTTTTAGGGTTAGAAAAGAGTCAGTTACCAATCCTCTGTTGCACGATTCCTAATCACTTGATATAACTTATCAACCTATTTTATAGGAGTAACACGACGGGTGTCACATTTAAAGCAGGATCTACTTAACCTTTCTTAGCAGCTTAGAGCACCCCCTGTTTTTGGTTTGGTTCGTGTCGCTCAGTCTTTAGTTTTCTATGTTGTGTTTTGTATAATGTTGTTTGTCTTTTGGTCGTTTTTCGTTTTTTGCTATGTCGTTGTCAGTTTGTAATCATGACGACAACAATGCAGTTTTTTAATTTATTAACCTGTATTTATACATAATGAGTATGTCTGCTGGTGTGTGCAGATCTTTCTAATATCTTTGGTATCTTCCGCCTCTCTTTTTTTTTTACTTTGGTTTACACTTTAACAATGTTAATATTTTCGAGGTGACAAGATGGACATCAATCTTAGACCAACGGTAAATAAGTCCGTATTGTTATATGCACACGCATTAAGTTATCCAGTGTATGGAAGAATATCGACGAGTCTTATTCATTGTAGCTGTAAAGAAGAATCACCAAGAGAACAGATTGAGGCAAACATAGTTTCATGATTCAATCAAAAGATGAAGATATGGTGCTTTAGTTTATGTTATTACTACCACTGGGTCGATGCCTCTGCTGGTGGACTGATAGTCCCTGAGGGTATCACCAGCCCAGTAGCCAGTACTTCGGTACTGGCATGAAAATACGGATTTTGTGTTATTAAAATTTGCTGTTAGAAAATTTTGGATTTTTTTTAAAATTAAGGAATGTATCTCCCTCATACAAAGGTCTGATTCCTTGTTCGGCTTTGGCTATACTTTTTGTCCTTTTTGGTTTATAGCTCTTCATCTTTTTTATAAGCTTTTGATTTTCAAATATTTTGGCCTCGAGCATCACTAAAGAGACATTGATTGTCGAAATGCGCATCTGGTGCAGAAAAATTGGTACCGTTTATGTTATTAGACTTATTATCATTTTTAGGAACTTATCCCACTTGAAACCCTGTTCCGTCTTGCGTACAAAATTTTAATCCTGGTAACTATGATGAGTTTATTTCTACCTACCTGTGGCGACAAAGAGTAACACTAAATACTGGCAAACGGAAGAAAATAATCCAAGTAAATAATATAAACTGAATAATAAAAAAGTATTATTATCATTTATATATAATTTGCACAAATGAAGTACTTTATTATGGCTCAAATAGAAATGGTTTGTATCGCAAATGAAATACCAATTGGCACGAATGCAAAGCGCTGCTTTCGTTTATTTAAATACTTTACATGTATATTGAAAAAAGTGTTGGAAGTACTTTACTATAGATTTGACATCTTCTTTTTGTTCAAGCCCGCTTGAAAAGGACTCTTTTATCTTTATTGGAGAAACCGGTACTTATTTTAATAATCATCTCAAATCCAAGTAAAAGTGCTTACGAGCTCGAGACAAATGCTACTATCAGACGAATAGCAAATGATAACAGATGAAACATATATAATGCCTATGTATTTTTAGATGAAAAAAAAATCCATGGTAGCAAATAACCAAATATTCTGTTTATAATAAAATGGAACTCGACAACCCAAGGTCAAAGAAAGTTAGTGAGGAAAGTTTTCAAACGTGTACGGCGTCTGTTCTCAGACATCAGAAAATTTTAAAAAACTTTGATAAAATTATACCTTGCTTCTTGTCACTGAACCCCTCTCCAAAATGTTCCTTAATGGTATTGTAGGTGAAGCATATCAAAAACAAGTAAAAAGTAAAATAACAAAAATACCGAACTCCAAGGAAAATTCAAAACGGAAAGTCCCTTATCAAATGGCAAAACCAAAAGCCCAAACACATCAAACGGATGGAAAACAACTGTCATATTCCTGACTTGGTACAGGCATTTCCTTATGTAGAAAATGGTGGATTAAACCTGGTTTTATAGCTAGCTAAACCTCTCCCTTGTATGATAGTTACATACAATTCCATTATATTGACAACAATTATGTTAAGCAACGCAAATTTAATGAAGCATTTGTTATATTCATGTATTTTGTAGTTTATTAATTATATATATTTTTTTGAAACAATGTTATAGTTTAGGAAAACAAAGAATGCGTTATTTCAGAAAGGAGGAAAAATTAATTGACCACCGCACGAATCAACATTAATTTAATTTACAATTTCAAACTAATTATGTTGTATAAAAGTGACATGTTTTAATGGTAAATGAATTACAATAAACCATTGAATCAGAGAGCGGATGCGTTCTGCTGTCTTATGAGTTATGCAATGATACATGACATCTGTTGTATTATAGTGTAAGTAAAATAGTGAGACACTTAGTACCACAGTATGTGAAATATCACAAATAATATATATTTTTTTCATTTAGTAGCTTAACAAATGACTTTCTTGCTCTTTTTGTCTTTTTGACAATTAGAAATAAATCACATATCCTGTTCTTGTTTATGTTATAAATGATAAAAATATGATGAAATACATCATATTTTTGACCTAAAGTATCTAACAAAATTTACTACAAATTGTCCATTAAACGTTTTACTTTAGGCGAAATATAGCTTAAGTAAACCTGAAAATGGTATTTTTGTTTTTATCCATTCAAAATTTTACTATCACATGCCAAGCATACGTGGTAACAATAATAGACTTGATCGCACTTATGATTACTAACTTCTTGAATAAACACCTACATATATATGAAAGTTCATTCTGTTTTACAACATGAACAAAAAAAATATAAGACATGGCTAAAGTTCGTCCGATATAAGGTGGTAGACCTTTACACCAACGTTAGTTCCCCAAACAAGTTCCTTAACAAAAGTTCACATGAATCATCAACAATATAAATGTTGGCAAAAAAGTAATATCAA